TTACTTTCTCTGGGGCCTGTATACTGTTTGTGTACCTATGTATAGACTGTGTACACCCATGTATACTGTGTGTACCTATGTATACACTGTGCACACTTATGAATACTGTTTTGTACCTACATGTATACTGTGCACACCTATGTATACTGTTTTGTACCTACATGTATACTGTGCACACCTATGTATACCGTTTTGTACCTACATGTATACTGTGCACACCTATGTATACCGTTTTGTACCTACATGTATACTGTGCACACCTATGTATACCGTTTTGTACCTACATGTATACTGTGCACACCTATGTATACTGTTTTGTACCTACATGTATACTGTGCACACCTATGTATACTGTTTTGTACCTACATGTATACTGTGCACACCTATGTATACTGTTTTGTACCTACATGTATACTGTGCACACATATGTATACTGTTTTGTACCTACATGTATACTGTGCACACCTATGTATACTGTTTTGTACCTACATATATACTGTGCACACCTATGTATACTGTTTTGTACCTACATGTATACTGTGCACACATATGTATACTGTTTTGTACCTACATGTATACTGTGCACACCTATGTATACTGTTTTGTACCTACATATATACTGTGCACACCTATGTATACTGTTTTGTACCTACATGTATACTGTGCACACATATGTATACTGTTTTGTACCTACATGTATACTGTGCACACCTATGTATACTGTTTTGTACCTACATATATACTGTGCACACCTATGTATACTGTTTTGTACCTACATGTATACTGTGCACACATATGTATACTGTTTTGTACCTACATGTATACTGTGCACACCTATGTATACTGTTTTGTACCTACATATATACTGTGCACACCTATGTATACTGTTTTGTACCTACATGTATACTGTGCACACATATGTATACTGCGTGTGTATCCATATAATCCAAGAAGACTTGTAATAGGAGTAAAAATTGCGGTTACTGAAGATGGGTGTGCCACAAACAGGCTAATGGATCACAGTGCCAGCCACCTGGGCCACAGTGCCAGCCACCTGGGCCACAGTGCCAGCCACCTGGGCCACAGTGCCAGCCACCTGGGCCACAGTGCCAGCCACCTGGGCCACAGTGCCAGCCACCTGGGCCACAGTGCCAGCCACCTGGGCCACAGTGCCAGCCTGCCCCCCCCCCTCAGCCTGCCCCGACCTCCCAGCCTGCCCGACCTCCCGGCGACCAACTACAGCCGATGGAAACCGAGAAATTCAGCCTGAAAATGATCGTCTTATCGCTCAAGACGTTGTCAGGAAGAGGAACGGATTTCCTTAATTTCTTCGAGGTATAGTCGAGGAGAAAAGTGGGGGGAAGAGGGTAATAAAGAGGCTATTGGGACATGTGGGGGGGAGGGGGGGAGAGGTGAATAGAGGCGAGAGTAAAGAAGAGCCGAGGGAGGAGATATAGGAGAGAGAGGGGGGGGGGGGAACAATGTGAGAAGACAGCAAAGGGAGAACTATAATTTAACCACGTCCCTATTTACCAGACTTGGGTTGTAGGAGGTGGGAGGGAGGGACAAGAATGAGGGCAGGCAGAGAGAGAGAGACAAGAATGAGGGCCAGCAGGCAGTGACAAGAATAAGGAAGAACAAACAGGACAAGCCGCAAGTTTGGGGCGCCTCGTTCGCTTGCCCATTGCCACCATTCGTAAATGTGGCCCAAACGGCGCAGCAAGACGTGTTCCCCCCCCCCCCCATCCACCTGCTGACAAAGGTCACCAACACAACTCATATGTAAACCCACGACCGCTCGTTACAATTATTTTGTAAACTTTGTATTTTACTTCGTCCCAATGTACACTAGGATAGGATCAGCCGAGGAGGGGGAGGGGGTAGCTAAGATGTCATCAGGTCAAAGGTCAGGCGGGATAAGCATGTCACCAGGTCATAGGTTAGACAAGCATGTAGTATGCCTAGTTTGTTTACATGTGGTTCAGTGTATATGTATTTATATATATATATGGGGGGAGGGTAGAGGCCGGCTATACCCTCCCTTGGTCAGCTAGGATCGTACCCACCCGTACCCACACAAGGAGCCTACAGCCAGCTGACCCATTTCCTTCAATGCGGGTAATGTGCCCTAACTACATTAGGAAGGGCGGCATTCATCGCTATTGTGCCATGGAACTTTATTATCCATAGGGGAGGGCAAGGGGGGGGGACAGGAGAGACAGGGAGGGCAAGGGAGAGGAGAGAAGATGGTGGGAAGGAAGGGAGGAAGACCGGGGCGAAGGAATATAAAGTGATGAAGAATAAGGAGAGGGAAGAAAAATATAAGTTTGCCAGCCACTTAGTGTTATCAGTGTTATCAGTGTTATCAAGTGTTATCTATAACTGTAGTACAACAAGTTGGGTTAGTGCCTGTGTGCCTGTCTCAACACAGGAGACTGCCAGCGTCACAGATTGTCGTTTTAGATTTAGCTACTGGAACAAAAATTTCCATGTAGCACGGGCTATGGTGATCCCGTAAGTGGAGGCTCTTTTGGAGCCATTATCAGTATCAATAGCTGATACTGGAGATGGGGTCCATGGACGCGCCAATCCAAGATCATAGGGGCGGTCACCCGTTCCTACCCTGCTCCTGTGCCAGGTAAGTCCACTATGGGCTCTTGAAATTTTTGAAATTTTTTTGAAATGCTTGAAATTTTTGTTCCCAGTAGCTGAATCTTAAACAACAGGGCTGGTCAGACCGTTGAATTGACGGGGTAGACAGGTAGCTCACAGTCGACTGCCACAGGGCTGGCCACAGTCGGCCGGTCTAGGGGACAGATGTCCGGATGTTATACAAGAGAATTGGTTTGAACAAATCCACAAGGGCCGTGACGAGGATTCGAACCTGCGTCCGGGAGCATCCTAATCCCTTGGTTTCCTAATCCCAGTTCCTAATCCCTAATTTCCTAATCCCAGTTCCCCGATGTTGGTAGTCTGGTCGAATTTCCGTCTTCAAGATGTCGTTGTTGTGTCACAGGTAAAATGGGCATTTTTCAGGGGGGAAAGGAGTAAAGAAGATGCACGTGAAGGTAAGAAGGTAGGTGAAGGAAAAGGTGTGAATATGGGAAATACAGTACGAGTTATGATACCAGGCGGGCTGTCCGCCTTGCTGTCACCATGTACTCACCTAGCTGTACTGAGTGTCCTGTATGGGAAGGGAATGATGAGGCGGGAGGGAGAGTGGGAAGGGAAGACAGGACAGGGAGAGTGGGAAGGGAAGACAGGACAAGAAGAGTGAAGGAGAAGCGAACGAGACAGACTCCAAGGAGCCATAATTACTCCAAAGCATTTTTGAGAGAGAATGTTTTTAGCAGAGAGCCATCAATCAGCTGTCACTCCCCCCCCCCACCCCCCTATTCCCTCGAGTCCGCCTCGTCTGTAGTCCTATTTGCCAGAGTCTGTGATCACGACATCTGAAGCAGCCTCACACACACAAAAGAAACAGACGCCCTCCTTAGAGACATATATAATCGTTGGTCTGTAACACAGAATCTACGGGAGACATCTCCCGTCACGCGGGGTGCAGTTGCACCTCCACAGATCTCCAGTATCAGCTCTTGATACTGGTAATGGCTCAAAAGGGCCACCACTTACGGGCTATTCATGTCCGTGCCACCTTTTGGATGGCTTAATCTTCATCTTGGACACAGGATCTCACTGGCAGAGACACTACTGAAGGCTGCAGGTATACAAGGGCAAGGCTCTGCAGCAATGTATTTACCAAGTTACTGTGGCTGCGACTGTACTCAAGTTCCTGGGTCCCGGTTCTTAACCGAGCGAAAGATTTAGTTGTCCATATTCACTCAGTTCTAAAGAATGGGATGTATGGCTGTGTGGACACGGCCGACAGAATGATAGAGCGTGGGCATCATGTTACATCATTGCCCAAGGCTGCTCCTTCCAGATTCTCCAGGGTGAGTAGAAGATTCTTGGAAAGTAGAAGATTCTTGGGGAGTAGAAGATTCTTGGAGAGTAGAAGATTCTTGGAGAGTAGAAGATTCTTGGAGAGTAGAAGATTCTTGGAGAGTAGAAGATTCTTGGAGAGTAGAAGATTCTTGGAGAGTAGAAGATTCTTGGAGAGTAGAAGATTCTTGGAGAGTAGAAGATTCTTGGAGAGTAGAAGATTCTTGGAGAGTAGAAGATTCTTGGAGAGTAGAAGATTCTTGGAGAGTAGAAGATTCTTGGAGAGTAGAAGATTCTTGGAGAGTAGAAGATTCTTGGAGAGTAGAAGATCTCCCAGAACGCTATCTAGCAGGTGTGTGGGGGGGTGAGGGGGAGTATATATTTTACCCATTTGGTACCTTGTGTCCAGCCTCCTGCTCCCAATACCCAACTTCAATACTCCAGTTAAACTCTAGCAGCCACTTATTTGCAATATAACATGGTGATTGTATAAAAAATATCAATACCTATGTAAAAATAGTCCAGATGCTCTAATATAAAATGTGTCGTCATTAAAATACTGGTGACGTCCACGGTGAGGGTGAAGGAACAAGGGTCAGAGGTAAACAAGGAAGCCGGCACCTTATCGTACATCAGCTGGGAGGCATCTCATGTCAACAAAGGTGAGAGAGGAAGTTAAGAACCAGATGGGAGGTCACATGTTAACGACTGTGACGCTGGCGCCTTCCTGTACAGCTGGGGTCAAGAGGTCAACAATGATTATTGAGCCTACCTGGGGTCAGAGGTTAACAATGATTATCGAGCCCACCTGTACAGCTGGGGTCAAAGGTTAACAATGATTATTGAGCCTACCTGGGGTCAGAGGTTAATGATTATTGAGCCCACCTGTACAGCTGGGGTCAAGAGGTTAACAATGATTATTGAGCCCACCTATACAGCTGGGGTCAAAGGTTAACAATGATTATTGAGCCCACCTATACAGCTGGGGTCAAAGGTTAATGATTACTGAGCCCACCTATACAGCTGGGGTCAGAGGTCAACAATGACAAGACACCTACCTGTACTGACGCTTTGTTGCTATCGTCGAGGAGGAACTCCATGCTTTTGGCCCTGGTTTCTGGAGGTCGAGGCGGGGCGGTCAACTGGGCGTCCATGTCCGAGGCACTGGTGGCCTCCAGGTCGAGGAGGGACTTGGCTCTGGCCTTGTCTTGGTAGGTGGGAGCGGCACCCAGGGCGGGGAGGGTGTCTAGTAGAGTCTGCAGATCCCGGTATAGGTCGTCTAAGTTGGTCTCCTGAAGCGTAAGCACCTCCCTCGACGCCCCCGTATCTAGGTCAGTTTCTAGCACGCCCACGCTCTGCGTACGAGAACGGGCGTATATACGCTGCGCCCTGTTCTTGTATCGCTCGTGTATAGATGCCCTGGGCTTGTGGTGGGTGTTGGGTGCCCCGTGGGAACGCTCCGCCGTGTCACCATCACTAGCCCAGGCTACACTACCGGCCTGGGAGTCAGCCTGCTCTTGCTGCTGCTGCTGGCTCCAGGAATCAATACGAGGACTCTGCCGGCGCACACTCGCCTCGATCACACTCAGGTCAGGCGTGCTCTTGGCCAGTCGCTCACGTTCCGCGCGAGCACTCGCCGAGAACCTCTCGAACCTCTCCTTCAGGCTCCTGGAGGCGTCGAACACCGAGGTATAGCTGGAGGTGGTGGGGAGGGGGGGACGAGGGGCGGGGGCAGGACTATCAGCAACGTCCTTGGGAGGGGAGGACCTCTCTGGGGCTGACACCTGTCGCTCCTGACTGAAGTACTGTCTGCGGGCACTGAGGAGTCTCGCCTTGTGGAACACCTGCTGCGTCGGCCGCTGCGGGTGGGGCGGCAGGGGCGGCTTGGACACAGCTGTGCGTGGACTGTGCAGCTGCCCCGCCTCCGAGCTCTCGTCGCCTGATGTCACCGACGCTGGTGGGCTTCTACCAGACTCGTGACTCGCATCGCTGTCTGCCAAGTAAACCTTCGCGTCCACACCTCTCACTGAACTGGCCGGGGAGTTTACCTGTGCGGTCTCACCTGTCACTGCACACACTACACTGGCCTGGGACTCTAGCACACTCCTCACTACACTCTGACACTGATCACCAGGACTGTCGTGGCGGGGCACTGCCCTGCCACACACTGACGGCTCCGCTTCACCTTTAACCCCAGCCTCACGCCCCAGCACCGCCCCCACCTGCCTCGTGCTCACCTGAGCTGGGGGCGGGGGAGGCGACACCAGGGGGCGGGGGGGATCTCTTCCCTTCTCACGTTTAGAGCCCCACGAGAAGAACCTGGGGCTGGACGGAGCTTTCTTGGGCTTACTGTCGGGGGAGGAGGGCGTCGAGGAGCTACTGTCTAGCCCCGGGCTGGAGGGCTTAGAGCTCTCGGTGTCTGAGGAGCGGGAAGACAGAGAGCGGGGCTTGGGCGGCAGCTTGGGGCGCTGGGTCTTGGGTGACGGGATCTTGGGCAACTTAAACCTCTGCCAGAGGGGCGTGGAGGCCTTGGGCGACATCTCCCCGCTTAGTTCCGCATCAGAGGAGGAGGAGCCCACCGGCTGGTCGGGTGCTCGCCCGTTGGCTTGGTCGGTAACGATGGTACAGCTGCTAGTCGGCCCGGAGGTGTTGTTTCCGGCTACAGTGCTGTTTGTGGGCACGACGGCCGGGGTGCCAGACGTCGGGGCCGAGGTGCCAGACGTCGGGGCAGGGGTGCCAGACGTCGGGGCAGGGGTGCCAGACGTCGGGGCAGGGGTGCCAGACGTCGGGGCAGGGGTGCCAAGGTCTACCCGCTGAGGCCTGGGGCTCTCAGCTGTCATTACCACCACTTTCTGCACGTCAGTCTCTGAACCATCGTCGTTAGACTCTACCTCGTAGTAACTCTCCCGCCAATTGACTTCCTTCACCGAGGGCGAGAAGGTGACGCCCCTGGAGCCCGGCCTGGGCTCTGCCCCGCCCGTGGGCGTGAGCACGGGCGAGGGGCGTGGGGGCGTGAAGCCACTGTCTGTTTTCGCTATGTACACTTCCACCTCACCGTGGGACCCGTAGGTCTTGGTCCTGACTCTGGTAGGTCCGTCAGCCATCTCTGGATTCACTGAAGCTGCTGACTCTGTGCTCGAGGCGTCGTCAGCAGGTGGGCACTGTCGGAGGTCACTTCCGGCAGGGGCGTTGGCGGCGGTGGCCGGGTCATGGGTCGGGCTGCTACTGCCACCGCTCCTCTGCCCGGTGTGTACGGGCTGGCACTCATTGGGCAACTGGGCGGGCGTGGAGCTATATTGGTGAGGGTGGTGGTGAGGGATGGGGGGCGGTGGAGCACGGAGCGGGGAGGGGCGCTGCTGCTGCTGCTGCAGCACCGTCAGCTCCGCCGTGTGGGGTGAGGCCGGGGGCTGCGCCTCACCCCGTGACCCTACAGGGACTTGCAACACCCCGCCCACCGACACCCCATTGGTGCTCCCCCCACCACCTGGCTGGTGATTGGGTGGGAGGTGGGTGGGGTCCAGGCGGGCCCCGCCCCCAGTGCCCGCACCAGGATGCCGTGCCCTCGTGCACTCAACACCTTCCTTCGCATCAAAGGAGTTCCCAACCATTTGTTTACAGTTAGGAGATTTCAATCCTTCTTGGCTGAGAAACTGCTCGGCCAAGTCCACACTGATGGGCTGAGGGCGGCGCCTGCCTGGGAGGGGTGCCGGCGGGGGTGGCACTGCCCAGCGCCCCTCGCCCCTCGCGTGGCGTGGCACCTCACTACTGCGTCGTCCGTACGGGTCGTGCCTGTACGAGGGCGGCGCCTCGTGGAAACTCCTGTGCCTCCGTGGCCTGGAGTGGGCGCCCCGGTGACCCCTGTAACGTGACCTGACCTCCTCGTCGCTGGCGTCGGAGCCCGAGAGCGGATGTGTAGGGTGCGGGCGGAAATGTGCGGGGTGCGGGCGGGGATGTGCTCTGGGAGGCCGGGCATCGCCACGTTCCTCATCCCCCCGCTGCTGCTGCTCCTCGATGTACCTGGCGAAGCTCGACTTTGATGGGCGCGGGTGCTCAGTGTCGTGGGCGTGGCTGGCATTTGGCGCCACGAGGGCGGCGGGGTGAGGCGCCCACCTGAACATGTCTTCGTCCTCACTATCAGACTCTGAATACCGCCGAAGGTCGCCACACGAGAAGGCGCGGCCGATGAGGGCGTTTTGCCCGTCCTGTGGGCGTGGGCGAGCCTCCGAGGGCAGCGACGGGCGTGGGGCAGCCTGGGATATGGGCGTGAGGTGAGAGTCACGGTCGCCCAGACCACTGTCCTCACTCAGCGTCTCGAGAGAGCGCGTGGCACTGCGACTCTCACTGGACCTGACCGACTCTGGCACTTCTGGAGAACTGCCCGCGTCACTGCCCGGCTCACCCGGGGCACCTCCTGCCCCGCCCCGCCCCGCCACGCCTTCCCCCGCGCCACTTAGGTGCAGGATATCTGAGCTGAGGAAGGACGTGCCCGCGGTCTCCGCCCCACACTGCACGCTGGAGATGCGCAGACTCAACTCTGCGGCGAAGTGGTCTTCCTCGTCGTAGTCGCCGTCGGTGTTGTCTGTGTCTGTATCACTGTCGCCCGAGGGCAGGTCAGCGGGGTCGTGGTGGGGCGGTGGGTGGGCGTGGTGAGGCGGTGGGTGGGCGTGGTGGGGCGGTGGGTGGGCATGGTGGGTGTAGCGCGTGTCCAGATGGACAGGTTGGTGGGTCAGTTCGGATAGTTTTAAGCTGGGTGTCCACCTAGCGGGGTGTGTGAGGTCAGCGATGACTGGCGGGGTGCTGGGGGAGGGTCGGGTGTCCCTCATAGCGTCCGCGGGGTCATGCTGGGTGCCAGCGGGTGCCAGAGCCTCACCTGCGGCCGGGAACACGTGTGTAGTGAGACTGAGGGGCGGCGGGCCGTGAAGTAGGTTATGTGTCGCATGCTGGCGATGACTGGCTTCACTGCAGGTTTCACCATCACTTGGGAGAGCTGCGAGGGCTCTCATCCCCCCACTCTCCCCCACACGACCCCCAACAGTAGGTTCCTTACCGCTGCTAACGTTATCATCGCCACAGGTCTGCTGTGACGCCTCCGTCTGGCGAAGGAACGCCAGGCTGGGATAGCCGACATCGTCCAGGTGTGAGGGACGCGTGTCACTTGTGAAGGGCACGGAGCAGGGCTGGGCCTCCCCAGCTGGCGTCCACCGCACCGGTAGACCAAACAGGTCTACACTCTCCGGCCCACTCTGGGGCTGACCCGGGTGAGGGGCGTCCACACAGCCCACCTGCCCACTCTCACCCTCCACAGGTTCACTGGCCAAGTCTTCCTCCGAGGAAGAGTAGGTGTGGCGTCGGACGCTGACGAAGGCACTGTAGGGGGACTGCGCCGTCACGGGCGGCACATCAGAGTGCGGCGCACCTGGAGTGGGCGTTGAACCAGAGTGGCTACTCTCTGTCGACCTCTCACGTTCTGAACAGTCGGTGCAGCCCATGACGAAGGTGTGAGTGTGGGCGGGGCAGTGTGGAGAGTCACCCCACGTCCCCGTCTGCACCGTGGGACGACGTGTATGGTCGCTCGAGTACTCGACCACACCATCATCCTCACTGTGACTCGACTCATTCTTGTCGTCGAAGGGCAAGGAAGTGGCGGAGGTGGTGAAGACAAGGCGTGTGTCGTCGAGGCGTGTGTCGTCGAGACGAGAGTTGTCAAGACAGGTGTTGTCGTGGGTGGCGAAGGAGGCGTCGTCGCTGCCCCCAGACACACTCTCACAGCTCTCCAGGCTCTCAAAGTCGAACACATCGTCCACGTGCTGGTCGAAAGCCCTGGCGGCGTGGTCACGACTCAGCATAGCGGGCTCGGGGCGGCGGGCGTGGGCGGTGGGCGGCACAACGCCTGCCTGGTCTTCGTGACTGCGTCTCCTGCTGTGGGAGGCCCTGGCTGCACTATCCGCTACCGGTCCTCCCTCGTCGCGCACACCCGTGCAGGCGGACGAGTCGTAATGAGTGTCAGTGGCCGGGGTAGTGAGGGCGGCGGTAGCGATGGGAGCGTGACTCGTCCCCGCCACCACAACCGCTTCCTGTTGCTCGTCCCTCCCCACTTGGCCGGCGGGGCCCCACACACCCTCCTCCTCCTCGACCACAGTCGACTCACTGCCGCTACTCTCACCCTCTGTGGAAGGAACAATACAAATTACACAATTAACAATGAGCAGGTAACCCCCCTTTTCTACTGGTACTCAATAAAGCTACCCCAATTAAATGAAACCCACTCAGGCAAACACCCCCCTACAGTGCTACTCTTAAGGGCAGCCTGCCACTGGTTAAGCCCTTGCAAGCCACCCAACCGACGTGACTGTCAAGACACTGCGACGTCATCACCAGCCGAAGCGTCGGGGAAAAAAAGTGTCCATATAAGCGAGCAAGAGAGACGGTATGGGATCAGATGCACCATAACAGCAGAGTCAAGCAGGCGCGGCAACACACAACGACAGGGAAGATTTCCTGAGACCTGGCACTTCAAGAACAAGAGGTCATAGATTTAAACTAGCTAAACACAGATGCCGAAGAAATATAAGAAAATTCACCTTCGCAAATAGAGTGGTAGACGGTTGGAACAAGTTAGGTGAGAAGGTGGTGGAGGCCAAGACCGTCAGCAGTTTCAAAGCGTTATATGACAGAGTGCTGGGAAGACGGGACACCACGAGCGTAGTTCTCATCCTGTAACTACACTTAGGTAATTACAAGACGTCATGCAACACCCTCCCAGAACACAAGACGTCATGCAACACCCTCCCAGAACACACAAGACGTCATGCAACACCCTCCCAGAACACACAAGACGTCATGCAACACCCTCCCAGAACACACAAGACGTCATGCAACACCCTCCCAGAACACACAAGACGTCATGCAACACCCTCCCAGAACACACAAGACGTCATGCAACACCCTCCCAGAACACACAAGACGTCATGCAACACCCTCCCAGAACACACAAGACGTCATGCAACACCCTCCCAGAACACACAAGACGTCATGCAACACCCTCCCAGAACACACAAGACGTCATGCAACACCCTCCCAGAACACACAAGACGTCATGCAACACCCTCCCACACCCTCCCAGAACACAAGACGTCATGCAACACCCTCCCAGAACACACAAGACGTCATGCAACACCCTCCCAGAACACACAAGACGCCATGCAACACCCTCCCAGAACACAAGACGTCATGCAACACCCTCCCAGAACACAAGACGTCATGCAACACCCTCCCAGAACACACAAGACGTCATGCAACACCCTCCCAGAACACACAAGACGCCATGCAACACCCTCCCAGAACACACAAGACGTCATGCAACACCCTCCCAGAACACACAAGACGTCATGCAACACCCTCCCAGAACACACAAGACGTCATGCAACACCCTCCCAGAACACACAAGACGTCATGCAACACCCTCCCAGAACACACAAGACGTCATGCAACACCCTCCCAGAACACACAAGACGTCATGCAACACCCTCCCAGAACACACAAGACGTCATGCAACACCCTCCCAGAACACACAAGACGTCATGCAACACCCTCCCAGAACACACAAGACGTCATGCAACACCCTCCCAGAACACACAAGACGTCATGCAACACCCTCCCAGAACACACAAGACGTCATGCAACACCCTCCCAGAACACACAAGACGTCATGCAACACCCTCCCAGAACACACAAGACGTCATGCAACACCCTCCCAGAACACACAAGACGTCATGCAACACCCTCCCAGAACACACAAGACGTCATGCAACACCCTCCCAGAACACACAAGACGTCATGCAACACCCTCCCAGAACACACAAGACGTCATGCAACACCCTCCCAGAACACACAAGACGTCATGCAACACCCTCCCAGAACACACAAGACGTCATGCAACACCCTCCCAGAACACACAAGACGTCATGCAACACCCTCCCAGAACACACAAGACGTCATGCAACACCCTCCCAGAACACACAAGACGTCATGCAACACCCTCCCAGAACACACAAGACGTCATGCAACACCCTCCCAGAACACAAGACGTCATGCAACACCCTCCCAGAACACACAAGACGTCATGCAACACCCTCCCAGAACACACAAGACGTCATGCAACACCCTCCCAGAACACACACCCCACTCACCAGTACAGATACAAGTGTGTCCGCATTACATACCAATAACACACAAAAATCACAGTTTGCAAGCATAAATAAAATACAGACCATTACTAAAACACACTTAACACACGACAAGATACACGACAAGACGGAAGACAAAGTCCTTCTAGAACAACCAATAGCAAAGGCGTGAAGCAGGAGCCGGAACACGGCTGTGTTATGGAAGGAACAATGTTCAGCACAGGAGTAGTGAACACGTGGGAGATGGCGCCCATCCTAGAACACCTGTTCTTTAACAAAAGTTAACATACGCTTATCAATGGCGATTTTCTTTAAACAAATCTACACTTGTATACAAAATAGTTTACATCCAGTTGAATTTTTTAAGGGTACACATTAAAAAGAACTTTTTCAGTGTCAGTAGTTAGTAAATGAAATGCTCTAGGAAGTGATGTGGTGGAGGCTCACTCCATACATAGATTCAAATGTAGATATGATACAGCCCAATAGGCTCAGGAATCTGCATACCAGTTCAATGACGATTGAGAGGCGGGACCAAAGAACCAGAGCTCAACCCCCGCAAACACAACTAGGTGGTGTGCGCTCACACACTAGAACTTCCTAGATCTACCCTAGTCTAGGGTAGTTCCTTAACTGTAGCCTCTGTTCACCCAGCAGTGAATGCGTACCTAGTTGTTAAACTATTTGGCGGGTCGTGTTTCGGGGAACAATTAGGATTAAGGATACCTGGTTGATACCTGGTTGATACCTGGTTGATGGGGTTCTGTGAGTTCTTCTACTCCCCAAGCCCGGCCCGAGGCCAGGCTTGACTTGTGAGAGTTTGGTCCACCAGGCTGTTGCTTGGAGCGGCCCGCAGGCCCACATATACCCACCACAGCCCGGTTGGTCCGGCACTCCTTGAAGGAATAAATCTAGTTTCCTCTTGAAGATGTCCACGGTTGTTCCGGCACCTCAGGGAAACGCTATGCGTGCTCTAGGAAGCTTTACATGAATGTAAGAACTCTTACAAGTAACTGGACCGCGTGTCTAGATAATTCACAGTTAACATTAGCTCTTGACTTTCACGTACTTATGGTCTCCTCAACGTTCATCACTGGAACCTTCAAGGCCATGTCGTTTGAGTTAAATGTGTTCAAGATATTGTTCTTCGTTATAGATTTGTTACTTGTAATTGTTGTGTACTTCTAGTTGTCCTTACAGTTAGTGGAGTAGTTGTAGCTGGCAGTTATATTTGTAGCTGAAAAATTACTTAAGTTACACTGTATTAAATGTGGGTCATTTTATTACTAATTACCATTTTCTATGGTGACTTTACGAATGTCTTCAGCCCATTTTCAAGCTGTGTTCGTCCCAGCTGCCGCCGCATTGTATTATACAAAGTGTTATTATATTGATTTCGTATATAATTAGGGCCCAGGTTAGGAAAATAATTTGTATTTGTAGTACGTGCGTGAAGCATTTAGGTGCGCTTCGCAACCCATCCTCGACTCAAGTCCATTACATCCAGCGGTCAACCCCACAGACGCATTCATAAATTTTAACATGCTGTTCATTCAAAACGGGAATTTTCTCAAATATAAATTAATATTATAATATATTAGCATATTGTGCATATATAGGCATAGGATAGGTTAGGTTAGGTGTTTAGGTTCTGTTGGCGATTATTTGTATTTGTAGTACGTGGGTGAAGCATTTATAGCGTTGTGATTCGAACAAAATTCGTCAGTGAAACACTTGTTCCGGATATGTTCGAACGTCAGCAGTTGAGTCGTGTGTAAACCGCTTTTCATTCATAAACAGGGGGTTTGGCGGGTGCATGGAATCACTTTTGGATCTTTGTTTGGAGGACGGGCTGGCGCTTCGATAAGTCGTGAACGAAGCACTTTTCGAGTAAAGTACATACGTCATCACTTGTGTATCGTGGTAAAATGCTTTTCATTCATAAACGGGGCATTAAGTGCTCGAGTGCAGGGGGGCGAGTTCTGTAAAACCCTGGTTTGTGTCTCGGAGAGGCTGCAGGATCCAAGTTCAGTAGAACGTCTGGTTTCAACTCTTTTTACCATTTAGCTCAGTCGATTAAGGCAGCGTTTGGGATGCTCTCGGACGTAGGTTCGAATCCTCGTCACGGCCCTTGTGGATTTGTGCATTCGGCGGCTGGACTAACGAGCACGGGACGTTTGCTAACGAGGACGAGCCGAGTTCCCATGCCCGTAAAGTGTTTAATAAATGTAAACAAAGCCACCAAAGATAAGAGAAGAGAGATACAGGTTCGCAAGTAGATGCGAAACTGTTTGACGAATCCTGACTCAGGGATCGAACAATGTGAGGCAAGGCTAGTTGTTTAACTACCCGTTAACAGTGTACACGTCCTTTACAGTAGCTATTGTACGTAGAATTAACGTTGTAGGTTCAGTGAAAGCCCACGGGAGACATCTCCCGTCACGCAGGGTGCAGTCGCACCTCCACAGATCTCCAGTATCATCTCCTGATACTGGTAATGGCTCAAAAGGGCCGCCACTTAGGGCTATTCATGCCCGTGCCACCTTTTGGATGGCTTAATCTTCATCAATCAATCAATCAGTGAAATCCGTAGTTGTGTCTAAATGTAACCTGTAGGAAAAGCCTAACATAACACACTGTAACTTTCCCTATTTCCCGCTTGTTACAACTCGTAATAAAGTTGTTACATCTTCTTATGACGTTTTTATGACGTATTAGAACATTGCTACAACTTAATATATTGCTTATTACAACTTGTTAGGTGTTAACACTTGTTCTAACGTTGTAGCAACGTTGTGGTTCCGTGGTGTGTTTGGCGGGCTAACACAATATTCTCCAACACGCGTGAAGCAGATGGTCGCTAACCAGTCAAGCTTCCGACCCGGGGAGTGTCTGCTCCCCGGCCTCACAACACCTTAAACACCCACACGCAACAACACTCACCAACACACGCCATAGTGTGCACTCAAACCAGGGATAGCGGACACGCACTCCGCACTCAACGACACTACACAGGCGACACTCGCGTGAACCACCTAGTCAGTCTTACACACCATACACTTATAGTCTGGGGATACACCTCCCTGTGTCTCACCCACACGCAATAACACTAACCAATACTCTCCATAGTGTGCACTCAAGCCAGGGATAGCGGACACGCACTCCGCACTCAACGACACTACACAGGCGACACTCGCGTGAACCACCTGGTCAGTCTTAGTATAGGGGTACACCTCCCTGTGTCTCACACAGTCTACCAAAACGACCAATCGTGTGCCTTAATGGCCCGGCGCTCCGTAAGTTCTGACTGGTAATGTTTGCGTCGAGCGGCAGCCAATGAGAAAGCCATGATCTGTTTATCCCTTGAACATGTGTTTATGTCAAATGTTTTGGAAGTGTGGGGGATATCTTGCTGAAAATATGGACTGTATAGCCATGCCAGCTTAGCGCTATCTTCACATATTTATCCATTCAAAATAATGAAACCAGGAATTTTGTAACGCGTAAGAAAGTGTTTACATTTTTTTAATGGTCAAGAAAAATGTTTAGGCTTTTACTTGGTTGTTGCCGCCGGAGGTGGCTAGATTATTGTGCACCCTATACTCATCTTGTGAGTGGTAGTTTATTGTGCACCCTATACTCATCCTGTGAGTATAGGGGGCACAATAAGCCTAAATTAAGTTTATTGTGCACTCCATACTCATTTTGTGAGTGGTAGTTTATTGTGCACCCCATACTCATCCTGTGGGCGGTAGTTTACTGTGCACCCCATACTCATCCTGTGGGCGGTAGTTTATTGTGCACCTTATACTCATCCTGTGAGCGGTAGTTTATTGTGCACCCCATACTCATCCTGTGAGCGGTAGTTTATTGTGCACCCCATACTCATCCTGTGAGCGGTAGTTTATTGTGCACCCCATACTCATCTTGTAGTGGTTTATTGTGCACCCTATACTCATCCTGTGGGTATAGGGGCACAATAAGCCTAAATTAAGTTTATTGTGCACTCCATACTCATTTTGTGAGTGGTAGTTTATTGTGCACCCCATACTCATCCTGGGGGCGGTAGTTTATTGTGCACCCTATACTCATCCTGTGAGCGGTAGTTTATTGTGCACCCATACTCATCCTGTGAGCGGTAGTTTATTGTGCACCCCATACTCATCCTGTGAGCGGTAGTTTATTGTGCACCCCATACTCATCCTGTGAGCGGTAGTTTATTGTGCACCCCATACTCATCCTGTGAGCGGTAGTTTATTGTGCACCCCATACTCATCCTGTGAGCGGTAGTTTATTGTGCACCCCATACTCATCCTGTGAGCGGTAGTTTATTGTGCACCCCATACTCATCCTGTGAGCGGTAGCACAAAAGAATTACTAAGGCACAAAAGGTCTTAATCAGACCTCACGGAAATCTATACTTTAACAATTTCAATTTCAACCTGAAATTGAAAATCCTTCAATAAAGCAATTTCCAGAAAACGTCAGGAATTGTTCCAATTCTTTGTTCAAACGAGGACAAAGTACTGACAACCAAGAGGTGTTTGACACTGTGTGTGTGTGTGTATACATGTACCTGGGCTTGGGTGAGCCAAGCTTCAGCTCTAGGGCTCCCATTCTCCTGAGCTATTCGGCCTCGTGTTACGTTTGAACTCCCCCTCCCCCCCGCTGGCGCTGCATATACCAGAATTGGTCTGACATATGCAGTATACAGAGTCCTGAATGACACTTTGTTCGGGTTCCTAAAGACTCTCACGTTGGCTAACCATGCAGATGCCGCTGGTAATATCTACCTGATGTGTACTTACTTCAGCAGCCAGGTTTGGTTTCCACCACCACACAAACCACCACCACCACCACCTCTCACCACCACCACCACTACCACCACCACCACCACCACCACCACTACCACCCCCCACCCACCATCACACAAACCACCACTACCACCACCACCACCACCACCTCTCACCACCACCACCACTACCACCACCACCACCACCTCTCACCACCACCACCACTACCACCACCACCACCTCTCACCACCACCACCACTACCACCACCACACAAACCACCACCACCACCACCTCTCACGTACGCCACTTGGCTACACTGCTCGTCGTAATTCTCCACTGCGGCAACTGCTGGTTAATTAGTGATACGTGTGTGTATTCACCTACTTGTACTCGCCTAGTTGTGCTTGCGGCAGGGTTGAGCTCTCCTCTTTCGGCCCGTCTCTCAACTGTCAGTCAATGAACTGTTACTAACTACTATTTTTTTATTATTATTATGTTGTTCACACACACACACACACACACACACACACACACACACACACACACACACACACACACACACACACACACACACACACACACACACACAGACACGACACTAGAGAAAAGAAGGGAGAGAGGAGATATGATAGGGACATATAAAATACTCAGGGGAATTGACAAAGTGGAAATAGATGAAATGTTCACACGTAATAATAACAGAACGAGGGGACATGGGTGGAAACTGGAAACTCGGATGAGTCACAGAGATGTTAGGAAGTTTTCTTTTAGCGTGAGAGTAGTGGAAAAATGGAATGCACTTGGGGAACAGGTTGTGGAAGCAAATACTATTCATACTTTTAAAACTAGGTATGATAGGGAAATGGGACAGGAGTCATTGCTGTAAACAACCGATAGCTGGAAAGGCGGGATCCAAGAGTCAATGCTCGATCCTGCAAGCACAAATAGGTGAGTACACACACACACACACACACGTGTGTGTACTCACCTATTTCAGGTGAATACACACATACAGGTAGGTGTGTGTGTGTGTGTGTGTGTGTGTGTGTGTGCGCTCACCTAGGTGTGCTTGAAGGGTGGAGCTAGGCTCCTGGCCCCGCCTTCGGTACGTTCTTAGAATAATGCAACGACTCATTTCTCACACTTTTATCATATTTACACTTAAAACTTTGAATCGAATTAGCTCCTGTGACTTTCTAAGTCTAACCTGTTCCACTTATTGATAGTTCTGACACTGACAAAAAAGTTATTTCTGACGTTCCTGTGACTTATTTGCTGATTCCATCTATGACCCCTCGTTCTGTTGTTCCTGGCTTCGAACAATGCTGTTCCAACATCACTACTACCACCACCACCACCACCACAACCACCACCACCACAATCACCACCACCATCTATTTTTGACGTATTTAAGATTTTTCACCCATAGGGTTATAAACCCATGAAACCGCCGAAGCCATAATTGTTAAGACCTTACTACAGTTCAAAATGCAATTGAAAAATCTTCAAGAATATTGAGGGGACTTTTGAAAAGCCGCCGGCTTCCTGTTCCCGTTGTGGCCACTAAAGAGATAGCCTTTGGGTAAATTCAGGTAAATTTATAATACGGAGTACCAGCCTGGTATTCAAACCTAGAAAAGCACAGAACCAAAACTGTAAAAATACCAATTTATGAACATTTTATTTGCCAGAGCTAAAAGGATTTAGCTAAGAGGATAGACTGAAGAAACTAAATTTTTCCAACCTTAGAGAAGAGAACATAGGAGCTATGATCACTGCATACACGATACTGAGGGGGGAATAAAACATCTTTAAGACCTGATTCAACAAAGAAATATCAAATAAGATGCAACAGGTACAACAAGGGCAGTAAAGTGGCTTAAAAGTGCTGGACATCACTCCCCAGTACACATACACAGCCCCGCTCCTGTGCCAGGTAAGTCCACTACGGGCTCACCATAGCCCGTGCTACTTGGAAGTTTTTGTTCCCAGTAGCTAAATCTATAACAACAACTCTCCAGTAGTCACTCGTAAAAGCACTGTTATGTAAACTCCACTACCCCAGGAGGCCTGGTCGAGGACCGGGCCGCGGGGACGCTAAGCCCCGGAAGCACCCCCAGGTAAGGTAACCCCCTCTCATCACTCCCTACGACTTACCTTGCAGCGCCTGGTGGACATCGTGAGCGTGGACCGGGGGTTCGAGCACCGCCGGCAGGTGGATGACGGAGTCTGTGTCGGTGTTGTCCGCCGAGAAGAGCCAGTGGCCGGAACTCTCGGCTCCGGAGTCTTCCTCAGCGTCCTCCTCGATAGTGGCCAGCACCCCGTCTCCCGGAGCCGTCACCTGCGGCCACCACACACACCACAATGGTTAGACACATACTCTCACATGTACACCATCACGGGCAAGTACACCCATACAAATTAATAAACATACCATTTATAAATAAATAAATAAATAAATAAATATGTTTATTCAGGTAAGGTACATACATACAAGTGATGTTACATTAATGGATTGATATATAGATAGAGCTAGTACATACAATGCCTAAAGCCACTATTACGCAATGCGTTTCGGGCAAGCGAAACCCGATGCCCGAAATATGCCCGAAACGCTTTGCGTAATAGCGGCTTTAGGCATTGTATGTACTAGCTCTACCTATAAGTCAACCAATCTTTGTAAAAATTTATTGTATGTATGTACCTTACCTAAATAAACATTTTATTTTATTTTTATTTTTATACAGAGCCCCGTGGCGCAGTAGCAAGTGCAAACAGTCTGGTCACAGTTGAAAGGTCTAGAAAGCTGGGAGACTATTGTGGCTTGCATCCTGGGAAAAGTTAATAGCTGATCTAGAGGAGCCTAAAGTAAGCTTACAGGCTTCATGTCCCCGAATATGAGAATCCATGAGGTCACCTACAGCAAAAAAAGAAAAAAATCGTATTTAAGTGAGTTTACCATTAAGAATAATAGAAAACTAAGGCCAGAGAAAACGTGAAAATTAGACCATCAGGCGGACTAAACTAGTTGGTACATCTTAAGGCGCCGACACGTACACAGACCGAACAGTTTGTTCTAAGGAGTATTTGTGAGGAGCAACTGAATAATTGTCTAAAGATATTGATGTTTTAATAATAGTTGCATAAGGTGCGACAGAATGTTACACCTACTCGTCAAAATGTGCAATATTTCGCCCTGTCCGGGAAACGAACTTGGATCCAATAGGTTGTTAGCCGGCTCCACGTACGACTGTGCTCAAGCCCAGGGGCCAGATTCAGGAAGCAGTTACGCAGTTACGAACCTGGGGCCAGATTCACGAAAGCACTTACGTAAGCACTTACGAACCTGTACATCTTTTCTCAATCTTTGGCGGCTTTGTTTACAATTATTAAACGGTTAATGAGCTCTTGAAGCACCAGGAGGCTGTTTATAACAATAACAACAGTTGAACGGCAAGTTTTCATGCTTGTAAACTGTTTAATAAATGTAACCAAAGCCGTCAAAGATTGAGGAAAGATGTACACGTTCGTAAGTGCTTGCGTAACAGCTTCGTGAATCTGGCTCCAGACCCACACTTGTTGAATCATAAACGTGATCATACTCCGCAATACAAATGTTCTTTAGAATACAGAGAGGCAGGAGACAGCCGTATTCTAAAGTACAAAAGGTGTTCACAAAGGTAGACATCTTAGAGAGAAAACTAGATAGTTTTCTTCAAGGAGTGCCGGACCAACCGGGGTGTGGTGGGTATGTGGGCCTGCGGGCCGCTCCAAGCAACAGCCTGGTGGACCAAACTCTCACAAGTCAAGCCTGGCCTCGGGCCGGGCTTGGGCAGTAGAAGAACTCCCAGAACCCCATCAACCAGATACTGGTAGCCTTAACGCGTCGGGTCCTCACTAAACGACCATTGCATTTAAATAGTGTAAATTACATACACGTGGGATTAAGATATGACCTAACGCTGACCAAACCACACACCACAAGATGGTGAAACGATGACGATTCGGTCCTTCCTGGACCACTATCAAGCACACACGACCTGATAATGGTCCAGGACGGACCGAAGCGTCGACAGTTCCTACTTGATACCTGGTTGATGGGGTTCTGGGAGTTCTTCTACTCCCCAAGCCCGGCCCGAGGCCAGGCTTGACTTGTGAGAGTTTGGTCCACCAGGCTGTTGCTTGCGGGCACGGGCATGAATAGCCCGGAATACCTCTACAGGTAACTGTTGGCATATAGACGCGGGCAGAGGTGAGCGGGGGGGGGGGGGGGGGGGCGCCGGCCGCTGCGGTTATCGCTAAAGAATTTGGACCTCTGCCAACTATGTGACGCATTGACCACATAATATTTATTTTAACAGACAGCAGAGCGGGGGGGGGAGGGGGAGAGTGGGAGTGGGAGAGAGAGGGGGAGAGAGAGGGGGGGAGGGAGAAGGGGGGGGGGCGTAATCAAATTCTTCAGGGAGCTTTAGAGAAGTTCTCAACTTATTTCCAATTGAAGAAATAGCTAATAAATATGAAGATCCGTTATAGAATCATTAATCTAATCCGTTCAATAATATTTAACAAGACATCTACAAAAGTGACTACTTCCTAAAATTACAATTACTAAAATACACGCACACACAAGGGGACACACGTGGAAATTGAGTGCCCAAATGAACCGTAGAGACATTAGAAAGAAGTTTTTCAGTGTCAGAGTAGTGGACAAATGGAATGCACTAGGAAGTGACGTGGTGGAGGCTGACTCCATACACAGTTTCAAGTGTAGATATGATAGAGCCCAATAGGCTCAGGAACCTGTACACCAGTTGACTGACAGTTGAGAGGCGGGACCAAAGAGACAGAGCGTTCAATCTAGCATCCTCAGAGGCAGAGGGGAAAGCTGATAGCAAAGATCAATACAACACATATATAGACCATACGGGTGTAATATGCATACTCTCAGCTCACCCGCATCGATCCTATATTCGACAACACTCATATAATATAAAGTTATTAATACTATGATTGTTATAATTATAACTTTTAAAAGGAGGCCTGGTCGAGGACCGGGCAGCGGAGACGCTAAGCCCCGAAATCATCTCAAGATAACTTCAAGATGGGTTTTATCATCATAACGTCCCTGGCCCTGACAGGTTGTGAGGTGCCCTACGCTAATCCTCCGGCACGTTCACTACGATAACTCACACTTGCTGTCGTTCACCTCTCATATCTTATCACCTTAACGACCAAGACGAAGGCTTTGGGAGATAACGTAGTGTCAGGAACCACTCGCTGGGCAGGTGTAAGGCAAGGGAGGTTAACAGCTGAGGTGGCTGAGGTAATTACCTAAGTGTAGTTACAGGATGAGAGCTACGCTCGTGGTGTCCCGTCTTCCCAGCACTTATATGACAAAGAGTGCTGGGAAGACGGGACACCACGAGCGTAGCTCTCATCCTGTAACTACACTTAGGTAATTAAACTTAGGTAATTACCTCAGCCACCTCAGCTGTTACCCTACCTTCCCTTACACCTGCCCTCGTTGTACTCGCCTAATTGTGCTTGCTGGGGGGGGGGGGGTTGAGCTCCAGCACTT